GGCCACTTCATAGTGCTGGACCGCTGACCAGGGCTGGACTGGGAGAGGGCAGGTCAGGGGCAGGACAGGAACCAACCAGGGACAGGACTCGGGGCTGGGAACAGTGAACGGGCACAGGAAAGTAAAATGCACAAACAAGATGGGGATGCTGTGAGAGAAGGGTTAGCTGTTTTACCAAACTGGGAAACTGTCTAAGTCCACGTCAAGCGACTGGCATCAGACATCTGGCAAGGCACAGCAGAACTGAAACTGAACTGAGTGTGACATTAAGTGTTTAATGACACCTCACATCGAAACAGTACTTAACTTGCAAAATTGTTGTGCCAGGACCAGGGATGCTGGAGTCGCGTCGTCTGCTTGCAGGGTGGGTCAGGACCAGGAACCAGGAGTGCCAACTGCTTTTCTCTCCTCTCTCCTCGCTTGAAAAGAAGTGGGGCAAGGGAGGGGCAGGATATACCGAGAAAAGGAAATTGTTTGAATTTAATTAAGGCAGTTTAGTTAAACGATACAACTATTGAGGGCGCCAAGTGGCTGCTGAAGGCATTTGCGGCATAGGGCACATTTGGGGCATGTACATCGGGTACATCGGCATCTGCATAGGCATTTGCATTTGCATCGGCATCTGCATTGGCATTTGGACAGTGGGAACGGGGGGTGGAGTATTGTTCTGAGCCTTCAAAAAGTCTACATGATACTCCAACGCGGCAATTTTGCACTTCTGACTTTCCAGTCTTTGGTGAAGGCGAGCACACTCATCACACTTAGGCTTGTTTTTCTGCTGCTGTTGATGCTGGGGGCCGCGTCCAGACGGCTTGGGCTGCTTGCTCTTGGGGTGCTCCAGCTGGCGGTCCGGGTGCCGCTTCTGCGTCTGCTTCGGAGGCTGCGTGGGGGCGGACTGCTTGGGCTTGGGACCCTGACCGGCTTTGTTGCGTTTGCCGGTCTTGCGGCGAGCAACCACAGGAGTAGCTCTGGGGGCAGCGCCCTGAGCGGCGGCGGGGGTAGCCCCGGCGGGAACAGCCACGGCAGTGGTCACGGCAGGGGCCATGACAGGGGTGGCTACGGTAGGGGCGGCCACCACGGGAGCTGCAGCACGGACTGCTACAGTGGCCACCGGAGGTGGCACCGGTAGAGGCACCTGGGTTGATGCGGCACCCTCCGACTCGGGGGAGGCAGCACGCACCGGGAGGGGAGGGAAGTCCCCGAAAGAGAGGCCATGCGAATTGTCAAAGGTGAAGGGCCTGTCGACGTCCATCTTAGACTCGATAGCCATCCGATCCAGATCTGACGCCAGGGAGCAGGTGGAGGAGGGGGAACCGTGGTTCTCCAGGATGTTGAAGGACACTGGATAGGACAAGGATCAGGGCAGGAAAGTTAACCATTTGCCATTTTGGTCCAGCAGGTGCGAACCGACAGCAGCCAGCCGATCCACGTGCACGATAAGGAGCTTAGGGGGCTTGGCCCTCTTTGACAGCTCGGTGGGTTGGACCTTCTCTATGCGAGCAATGCAATCATTGAGTAAATCAATTATCACATAAGGTCCATCCCAGCAGGCGTACAGCTTGGTGGACTTGTCACGCCTACGGCGACGGTTGTACAGCAAGACAACGTCACCTGGCTTGAAGTACGTCAGCGTCGAGAACTTGTCATAGCGCTCTCTCATGCGGATCACCGCTTTGGCTGTGTTCTCTCTTACTAGAGAATGGATTTTGTCCAGTCTCTCTCGGAGGCGCGCCGGGTAGCTCAGGGGCGTGCCCTGGTCGGGCAAGGCGCCTGGAGGCAACCCGCATGCCATGTCCTGCGGGACACGCATCTGGCGGCCAAAGAGAACCTCGTAAGGAGAGAACCCAGTGACGTCATTCACTGCTGCTCGGTACGCATGCAAGACGTGCGGTATCAAGTCCGGGTTCGCTTGCACTCGCTGCACCAGACCTAGGCGCGACCATCTCATGATGATGCGTGTTGCTGCGTGCAATGGTCACTTCATTTGAGCTCTTTGCCATTTTAGTGTTCCTCTGATCACCACTAACTACATTGACCGCAGGCTTAGGGCGTCCCCCACCTTTGGTCCAGGAGATCA